CACCAGCTTTTCTTCTGACATCTTTTCTCCCAATGCTCCTGAGGTGTTGGCAATTTCCAAGATGTTCATGTGAAACTCATGAATGGTCTCATCTTCCATCATCCTTAGATTCTCAAATTTGGTAGTGATCATCTGAAGTCTTGACATTTTTACTTTGGATGTACCCTCATGAGTGGTTTTGAGAGTGTCCCAAACATCCTTGGCCAGTTCACATTGATGTACTAGTCTGAATATGTTTCTATCAATTCCATTGAACAAGGCATTCAATGCTTTAGAGTTACCCAGGGCTAACTCATCTTCTTATTTGCTCCATTCTTCCTCAGGTTTCAGACTAGTCGTCCCATCTTTCCCAATTATGGTGGGATGGTTCCATCCTTTGTCAGCAGCTCTCCAGGATTTTTTGTCCAGTGACTTCAAGAAGGAAATCATACGAGGTTTCCAGTAGTCATAGTTTGATCCATCCAGAATAAGTGGTCTGTTCCCAAATCCTCCTTCCTTGTCCATAGCGCCAGAAAATAATATCCCTATATCTCACCCAGAAAGACAGGCAGGGTGCCTGCTCTGATGCCAATTGAAATTCTGGCAACAGATACTTAATGTCATAGTGAATGTTATGACACCGTATCTGACAAATTGTACACAAACCAAAACAGTAATTTAAGAGACAGTAAAGAACACAATCAATTATTAACCCAATTCAGTGTATAACAACACCTACATCTGGGGGCTACCAAGCCAGGGAGGAATTTCACTATAAGAGGTATTAATTTAGGAATAAACCAACCAGTTTATCTCCTTCACTTAAGACCTACCCAATGCAATTTAAATCTAAGTCCTACTTAAACCTGAGTTCCTACTCACTCCCCCTCAATCACAACAGTGATACTAATCTACTGATTAATAAGATTATGAAGACATTCTTCAATACACACACTTGATTTTGCTTCAAAGCTTTAATCAAGAGACACAACACTCATGCTTCAAAGCTTTGAGTGATACACAACCCTTACAACCAAATCCTACACCAAGTCACTTATCAAGTGATAATTGCTTGGCTTACAGTAGTTACTAAAAGTATCACAACTACAAAAATGCCTTATTGATCTCCTCTTCAAAAGTGCTGCTCACCATTAGGATTCGTGAGAAATATATAAGCAGTCTATTCTTCATTTAGGGCTTCCATAAAAATAGCTAGGGTTAACCAAAGTTAACCTAAAGACTTGGTCTTGGGTTTTTATCATAACAGATTAGGGTTAAGCAAGGTTAACCTAATTTCCACGTGAGCATCTGATCTAGTCAATATACTTCAACTCAGAATAGCACACCAGATTCCTGAAAATTCTCAGGAACAATAAATCTGCACAACAACTTGATCAGTACAGGATGTCTTAACATTAGTTATAACATCATGTATCCTACTCATTGACTTTGGTAGAATTCAGTCCATATGATCATAGCTTAATCATCATGATATTTACTCATACTGAATTGTTCCTGTAGGACATTCCTTCTGCAGAATTTGTCTTTATCCCAGAATGTTATGACATCAGTCATGACATTCGCAAATCAGGTTTTACCAAAAATTAATGCCAACAAGCAAACACTTATAATATAGATTTCTTCATCTAAGTCACCGTTTAAAAAAGTTATTTTAACATCCATTTGGTGTACTATTAAGTTATAAATAGCAGCTATTAAAATAAGTACCCTAATGGATGTAATTCTAGTGACAGGAGAAAAGGTGTCGAAGAAATCTATATTTTCTCTTTGTCTAAAACCCTTGGCAACAAGGCGAACCTTGTATTTATCAATAGTTCCATCAGGTTTTAGTTTCCTTTTCAAGATCTATTTACAACCGATTGGTTTGCAACCAGGAGGCAAGTCTACTAAGTGTCAGGTCTTGTTAGATTCTAGAGATTCTATCTCATCATTGATAGCTTCTTGCCATAACTAAACATCCAAAGATGATAAGGCTTCTTGAAGATTCATTGGATCTTCTTCTACATTATAAGCCGTATAATCAGGCCTATAGTCTTTACCAACTCTTACTCGTTTACTTCGTTGAAGTTCTGTTTCTACATTGTCGTTGCTTTATGTGCTTCTTATCACAGGAATGTGACTCGATTGTGTGCCCCCACTATTTCTTAATTTGAAAGGAAATTTGTCTTCATAGAATTCAACATCAGTTGATTCTATGATCACTTTTGCCTTTAGGTCATAAAACCTATATGCTTTACTGTTTGCTGCATACCGAATGAAAACACATTCATATGCTCTACTAGCAAGTTTAACTCGTTTCGGATCCGGAATTCTGACATAAGTGAAACAACCCAAAGTTCTCAAATAAGACAAGTTTGATTGTCTTTTCTTTAATATCTCATAAGGAGAGATCTTACATTTTGACTTGGGGACTCTATTCAGGACATAGCAAACAATCAATAAAATTTCCCTCCACCAGTGAGGTGCAGCACCAGAATTCATCATAATTGCAACAACAAGTTCAGTAAGAGTTCTATTATTTCTTTATGTTTTACTATTCATTGCAAGATAGTATGGTGCATTTGTTTCATGTACAATTCCATGTATAAAATTCATTAATAAACTAGAATCATACAGTCTATCTATCACTGTAAATTCTTATTATATCATTTTCAAATTCTTTACAAAAATTTTAAACATATAAACTTCATTCTTCGTAATGGAATACAAATCTACCCCAATAGACTAACTAAACCATGTCTTATTTAAAAGAAAACCAGAAACAATATTCTTTCTAATCTTAGGAACCTGCATAATGTTCTTTAAGATTAAAGTCTTTTTGAAGGTGAAATTTAGCTCCATGTCTACAATTCCAGCAACATTCATGGTCTGGCCATCTCCCAGCAACACTTTCTTATCTTTAGTATTCGTGTATGTTTAAACATAACACGATCATAGCAGACACAACGAGAGACACATGTGTCTATCCACCAACCAATATATCTATCAACCATGTTGATTTCAATGACCATAGCAATAAATTGCCCATTAGTTAGGTTGACCTGTGCATTAGGGACAACATCAAGTTCAACCTTACTTCTACATTTCTTAGTCATATGACTTGATTTTCCATAGTTAAAACAAAGAGAAACCAACGTAATTTCTTTTAGGTGGTGGTTGTTGCCTAGTTGGAGCTATTGGGATCATAGAAGGATTCGGTTCGCAATATTGTGGTTCTGATTCTTTAATCATTTGCCAAATGGCTTCAGAACTACACCGAATTTATTTTTGTTGTTTGAAACAACCAAGACTTTTTCTTTTTGATATTGTCTCTAAGATTCCCTTTTTGTTTTTTTTTAAACATTCAAACTATGGGGTAGTTTGTCAATAATAAAACCAATTTGAAATTGTTCATTTAAACACATACCTTTTGTGATGATCTTTTAAGCAATCTTTTGAAGTTCGTAATATTGAGCCTCCATCGACCTTACATCTTTGCATTTTATACTTGAAGTAGCGGCTAACAACATACTTCTTTGCTCCAGCTTCTACGTCACACTTCTTTTTCTGAGTCTTTCAATCTTGTTTTGCAGTATCACATCAACTGTAATTATCATACAGATCATCTGCAAGTCTATTCAAAATATGATTTTTTAGAGATTTTCATTCTCTTTCTATAAGGTGATTTCTTTACTATGCTGTAAATCATTCGCTTTAATCAGTGCAGCAGATTCAACTTCAACACTATTAAGTGTTCCTCTAAATCTCAAGATTTACTACTGTTAGTTTGTTCGATTGATCCAGAAGGAGCAACAGAGTGTCATCGATCAAAACGTTAGCAACTTTTTTTCAACATTAAGAACTTCATCTTTTGTTGCCAACATTTGAAGTGACTTCTCTCAAACATGAACGATTTCTCAACGACAATATCCGCAAAAGAACCAATAATTTCTTCGGTATCCGTGGCAGTTTGAAACGTCTTAAAATTGTTGGTTTCAGATTTTGAAATATTTGCCACCGAAGAAATTACCAGGTTGAGTCGCGGACTAGGTCGCTCTCTTTAAGATGTTTCGCGGCACTGCTCAAAATTATGCAAAGCAGTCAAACTACCGCGCCGCCTCCAGGATAAAACAACCCAGTTCTATATTGTACGATTACTACTTGCATGATAGATAATCGGTCTAGAAATACACCCTCTGATGGTACAAGACCATTCAAATATGGTATCAACACCACTCTTAGTATCTGGTACAAAGACCAGTCATAATAATTTCTCAAACAAAAAGAAACTCAAATAATTCTCTAAAGAGAATATAATAATGGTCATTTGACCACTCATAATAATTTCTCTAACAAAGAGAAATTCAAATAATTATCCAAAGAGAATTCAAGAGATTAAACTTGAAAATTTCTCAACTCAAATGAGGAGAAATTAACATAATTCTCTAAAGAGAATTCAAGAAAATACTCGGAAAATTCAACGAGTAGGAAGAAAGGGGAAGAAGATGGCGCTTCGACAATTCGAGAGACGCAGAGTTATGAGAGTGAGGAAGGAAAAACTAATAGAGTAGTTTTTGGTGTAATTTGGAATGAAACATGTGCACTCCTTATATAGTGAAGTAAGATAGTTAATATTTCTCACATGAGCAATATGGGACTAAATAGTTTTTTCAACCAAAAAAATATTCTAACAATGTGGGACTTAAGAAATTTTTAAATTCAACATATTGAAACATGAACATGTTCCAACAATTATTCATTGCATAACATCGCAACTGCATCAATTCTGCATCATATCAACACACAACTCTCACGTATCAACAACAAATCTAGAAGAATTCAACAGTTCTCATAAACGATCGAAAAGTAACTGAAGAAGCCGAAAGGAATAAGGAGAAGATGAATTTACCTCTGGATTTCTTGCCTAACGTCAGTGTTAAATAGACACAGGAGTATATTCGGCCAGTAAACTTCAACATTCCTCTTCTTTTTTTATTTATTTCTTTCTACTGTTTGTTGTATCACGGAATCAAAGTGAGACTAAGGCGTGATATACGAAGGAGACGAAACTTAAATGAGACATAACTTTGAAGAAGGCGACTCCGAATTTGATATGAAGAACGAAAGCGAGATGGAGTCGAAACCATGAGGGAGGTGGTGGCGATGTTGTGTTTACAATGGAATGAGGTAAATGATGAGGTGTCATCGGAGATGTGAGGAAAAAGCTGTGGCGGTGAGGTAGTTTCAAAGTGAAGAAGTGAGCGGCGGATGAGAGATTGAGGGAGAAGAGATTTTTCTTTCAGAGGAAGTTCAATCATCACACAACTCAACCCTAATGTCTCGTTGTAATTCTTTTTATTTATTTATTTCAGATAATAAAAAATTATGAATAAAAATCTAAAAAAACATAACGGAAGGAATGTTTTGTTGATGGACCATGGACCATGCTATTGCTCCATAAGCCCAATCGATGGTTTTTGGAAGTTTGTTAACTTGTGATACAAAAATGCTATTGGGCAATTTTAGAAAGGCCTAGCGCCTATGCTATATTGTTACACTATACCTCCAAAATTCCAATTTGCACCCCCTCTTGAGTTTTTTTTTTGCTAATTACAATTTCTTTTGAATAGTTTGTGAATTGTTTAGATTTGTTTAAAAAAATTTACATGATAAAAAATAATAAAATCAATAAAACTTGTTAGATTTTTAAGAATTAAATCCCGATTATCTGATTACTTGAGATGTATAATTCACCTTTTCTTGTTGAGATTGATTCTTATGCAGGATTATTGTGCGATATGCAGATATTCTTGAGATTTTGATTGTGATTTATTTTCACAATGATGATGCTTTGACACTTATTCCGAGCATTTGATTTCTGACTCTTTTCTTTGATTGGTGAAGCTTTCGCAAAGATCGTCGGGTTTCTTTGCTTTGATACGTTTTGCTACAAATTGATATTTGTTTGGTATTTTCTCTCGTTTATTAGCAGTGGTAGATTATCCTCCATGGATAGTTAACATTGTGCATGTACCAAAGAAAGATGGCAAGGTACGCATGTGTGTGGATTATCGAGATCTGAACAAAGCAAGCCCCAATGAAGACTTCCCGTTACCTCACATAGATGTTTTGGTAGATAACACGACTCAAGATTTAGTATTCTCATTCATGGACGGTTTCTCAGGCTACAATAAAATCAAAATGACACCCGAAGACATGGAAAAGACTACCTTTATGACACCTTGAGGAACCTTCTGCTACAAAGTAATGTAGTTCGGTCTCAAAAACGCAGGGGTAACTTATCAATGATCCATGGTCACACTATTCCATGGTGTGATTCACAAGGAGGTTAAAGTGTACGAAGATGATATGATCGCCAAATCCCATACGGAGGAGATACACATCATACATTTACAAATGTTATTCGAGCGGATGCGCAAGTTCAGATCGAGGTTGAATCCGAATAAATGTACATTTGGTGTCAGATCAGGCAAGTTGCTGGGTTTCATTGTAAGTCAGCATGGTATCGAGGTAGACCCTGACAAAGTAAAAGCTATACAAGGGATGCCAGCACCAAGGACCGAAAAATAAGTTTGTGGTTTCTTAGGGAGATTGAATTACATCTCAAGGTTTATATCGCATCTAACAACTACATGTGAGTCGATATTCAAATTATTACGAAAAGATCAAACGGTAGTATGGAATGATGATTTCCAAACATCCTTTGAGACAATAAAGCAGTATCTACAAGAGCCACCGATCTTAATGACACCAGTTCCTGGAAGACCACTCATCATGTATTTGACAGTGCTCGAAGGATCAATTGGTTGTGTTTTGGGACAATAGGACAAAACATGAAGAAAAGAGCATGCCATTTACTACCTCAGCAAGAAATTCACTAACTACGAAACCAGGTACTCGCTCCTCGAGAAAACTTTTTGTGCTTTGGCATGGGCTACTAAGAGGTTGAGACAATATATGTTAACCCACACCACATGGTTAATAACAAGAATGGATCCTCTAAAGTATGTGTTTAAAAACCAGCTCTTACAGGGAGAATCGCCCAATGGCAGATGCTATTATCAGAATACGACATCCAATATGTCACTTAGAAGGCCATCAAGGGTAGTATACTAGCTGATCATCTACCTCACCAACCGCTGCCAGAATATCGACCTATGAAGTTCGACTTTCCAGACGAAGATGTCATGGTTATAGGTGACTACGAAATACCAGGACCTGACGAAGGACCCGAGTCAGGGGCGTGTTAGACACTCATGTTCGACGAGGCTTCAAATGCACTGGGGCACGACATAGGGGGAATCTTGACTTCTCCAAAGAATTATCACAAACCCTACACTACAAGATTGTGTTTTGACTGCACCAACAATGTCGCCGAGTACGAAGCTTGTAAACTAGGATTGAAAGCTGCCATTGATCTGAGAATAAAGAACCTCGAAGTATTTGGGGACTCCGTATACCAAGTCAAGGGCGAATGGGATACTAAGCATCCAAAAGTGATTCCATATCGGGATCATGTGTTAAAGTTAACCGCGGAATTCAGAGATCACTTTCAGTCACATCCCACGAGAAGAAAATCAAATTGCGGACGCTCTGGGAACTCTATCAGCTATGTTTAAAGTAACTTGGACAAACCGCGAACCACACATCACAATTAGACACTTTGAAGGGCCCGCACACTGCCTTGCTATTGAAGAAGGGCTGGATAACAAGCCTTGATTTTGCGACATCAAGAGGTACCTCAAAAAGAAAGAATATCTGGAAAATGCCTCTATCATTGACAAGCGGACCCTGTAGAGGTTAGCCTCAAAATTCTTTTCGAGTAATGGTGTGCTGTACAAAAGAAAATACGACATGGTACTACTCAGGTGTATGGAGAAGAAGGAAGCAGATACACTCATGATAAAAATCCACGAGGAAACTTTTGGAACTCATACAAATGGGTGCGCCATGGTCAGAAAGATTATGCGGGAAGGGTATTATTGGTTAACGATGGAAGCCGACTGTTATCACTACACGAAGACATGTCACAAATTCCAGATCTACAGCGATAAGATAAATGTGCCACCAACTCCTATGAACGTCATGAGCTCCCCTTGGACATTCTCAGTGTGGGGAATTGATATGATTGGCATGATCGACTGAAAGCATCCAACGGACACCGTTTCATACTAGTAGCCTTCGATTACTTCACCAAATGGGTAGAAGCAACATCCTACACCAATGTGACAGGTCAAGTGGTTACACGATTTATCAAGAAGAATCTCATATGCAGATACGGGGTTCTAAGCCAGATTATTGCAGACAACGGGTCCAATTTGAACAACATGATGATGAAGGAACTGCACAATAATTTCAAGATCGAACATCATAACTCCTCACCATACAGACCCAAGATGAATGGAGTTGTCGAGGCAGCCAATAAAAATATCAAGACAATTATTCAGAAAATGGTGAAGACTTACAAAGATTAGCACGAAATGCTTCCCTTTGCTCTACACGGCTATCACACTTCTATGCGCACATCTACAAGCGCGACTCCTTTCTCTCTGGTATATGCCATGAAGGCAATACTTCCAGTTGAAATAGAAATACCATCTCTTCGGGTTCTAATGGAAACAAAGTTGGAAGAAGCAGAATGGGTTCAGACGTGACTTGATCAGCTCAACCTCATCGAAGAAAAATGCTTGACAACTTTATGTCACATTCAACTACATTGGAAGAGGATGAAGAGAGCCTTCGACAAGAAAGTTCTTCCTCGAATTTTCAAAGAAGGGGATTTAGTGCTCAAGAAGATCATGTTACCTCGCCTCGATTCACATGGTAAATGGACACCCAACTACGAAGGTCCATACATAGTGAAAACAACATTCTCTGGTGGTGGTATCATCCTCACAATAATGGATGGGGAAGAACTATCGCACCCGGCAAATTCAGACGCAGTCAAAAAATATTATGTATAAAAAGCTTTCTAAGCTCGAACCCTAAATGGGTGACTTAGGCAAAAAGGAGCATCCCGGTGGATCGAAAACCCTAAAGGGCGTTCCAGGAAAAAATTAGGTTCATACAAAAAAAACTATCCCGGTGGATTGAAAACCCGAAAGGGCGATCCAGGCAAAAATTATGAATTTTATTCAAAAAGAAATAAAGAACAAAAAGATTGCGATCTAAGAACTATGACTACGAACCATAAAGGGGGAGATGGGTCTAAATCATATGACTCAGAAGCAAAGGAGATAGGAGCCATTAAAAGGACATTGGGGAAACAGTAGTAACAATTATCATTTTCATTCCATTTAAAGTCTTGAAAATATCTGTAATCACCTCTTTTAAGGAATTACCTTTTGTAGTTTCTCCTATTCAGAGGCATATCAATAAAACATTTTCTTTCTTTCAAATTGCGTTTTTCCTATTTCAGACTCGTTTACAAAATACTACGCTTATTGCTTGTGAATATTGTGTCGAAAACATTTCGAGGGAATTGAAAAATAAAAGCATTTGATAAAACATCGAAAAAGAATTTTTTGTTAGAAAAGAATCAAAATAAAATCCACGTCTACATCCATGCACATGTCTACGCATATGTCTATGCTCACAACACAAAAGTCTGCCTCCACACATATGCCAATACATATGCCTGAACTTACAACACAAAAGTCTACACATATGTGTATGCCTACGCCCGCACCTCTGACAAACAAAAATCAAAATCCTTGCTAAAAACTTTTCACCGCATTCAAATCAATTCAAAGATACCACGACAATGCAACATACAACGCCAAGGAATTGGTAACTCAAAACCAATGGTTTAATGGAGAGACTTCCAGAAACAATTTTCATAACATTTCAAGGCATACACACATTGTGCATACATTTTGCATACATCATACATACACATTCAATACACATACACTCAGGGTTCCATATCAATATCAGATATCATACACATATATCATACAACAAATAAAAAATCTCACCCTCGATTCAGCTATCTAAGGGTCAATCAGCAAAGCACACTTCTTCTATAAATCCAACCCATCACCTAAGACTCCACGCAATGATGTGTTCAACCCATCACCTAAGACTCCATACAATGATGTATTCATTACAATGTAGTACTACCTATGTCTCCATGCAGTAATGTACAAAATACAATACATTTCCTAAGACTCCACGCCGCAATGTTAGAAATCCAAATAGGATCTGTCACCTAAGGCTTTATGCAGTGATGTGTTCAACCCATCACGTAAGACGCCACGCAGTGACTTTTTCCCTCTACAATGTAGTTCAATACCTA